CGGGGCGCCGACAAAGCAGCCGCGCGGGGCAAAGCAGCCGTGCAGGGCAAAGCAGCGGCGCTGGCCGAAACAGCCGCGCTGGCGACCGTGGAGCACCTCTGCCCGCGAGTTTCCTAGTCTGTGGGCAATAAAAACGCGGCGTCCACTCACCCTCTGCGCTTTCACTGGGAGCTGCAATCCTGAGCTGTTCCTAAACGGCCATCTTGGATCAACCCCCAAGTAAGCACCTTTTCAAACACTGTTTCTATCTTTTCAAGAAATACTGTTCTGAACTTAGTTCTTCATCTTATTTAGGACTATGCTCTGGCAGATTTAATTTCAAAATTTAAGTCAAATTTAAAATCTTTGTAACATACATACAATATCCTATTTTATTCTCAAAGGTAAACATGAAATGGACACACAGAAATGGTTCATCTTTCATATTCTCTTTATAAATTGGTATTTGTTACAGTTCATACTGAGGTGAATGAGATCTTGGCACTCAAGAATAAGGCAACAGTATGAAATTAAGACATTCAAAATATTCGATTAAAGGATGACAAATAAATATATCTTATTGCTCAAAATAAGTAATACCTTATAAAATAACATCAAGAAGAGAAAAGATATTTTAATGAGCCCCTGTAAGAAACTGATGGATCAAGCGTATAGAAATTAGTAAGGAGTGAAAAGATTTCAATAACTAAATTAAAAAGCCTGATATAAGAGAATCTTGCACCCAATAAATAGAAATACCTTTGAAATATATTTTTAAAGCACAAAACCAACACTTTTAAAAACAAATAAATATAAAATATTTAAAAGGGAGTATACAGAAACTATATATTCTTTCTGAAGTCATATGGAACACAAGGATTCACAACAATTCTCAAAATTTTATTACACAGATAAAGTTCTATAACCACTATGCAAGTAATTTAGAAATTAACAGTAAAAGATGGAGAAAGCCAATATATTTGGGAAAAAAACTCCCAAATAATCTATGTGTTAAGAAGGCAATAATGAGAGAAACTATGAAATTGTTAGAACTAAACGACTATCAGAATATATATATATATCAAGATGTTTGATAATCAGTCAAATGGCACATAGGGATAAGTTTATAGTTTTAAATGCATTTATTAAAAGACAAGCAGACATTGCGGCACTGCCAGGTCCAGGCTTGTTTAAATTTGTGCTTTCTATTTCTTTAGTCTTAAAAGTGGATAACAACATATACCAATTCATCTAAAACTTCTCTGTGATAATTTCAAGCTTCTCAACTTTTAACTGTTTATTGAGATTATGTGATGGTCTCACTATTGAAGTCAATAAAATATGATTCTTAATTTTTGAAAAACTTCTCTGCCTTTAGTATTTTTAAATTAAATTATAATAGGGTAAAAGCATTATAAATCAATGTTCTATTTTTTCTTGACATAAGAAGTCATTTAATATTTTGAAGTATACTAGTTTATTCATTGTTTACTTATCTGCTAGATAATTATGTATTGTCATTACTACAATTTCTGAAACATGCCATTAGAAATCAAGGTTGTCTGAGGTTCCAGGTATTAGGGAGTTTCTTCTTATGCTTATTTATCTTCATATTTTCTGAAATAAAAATAAAAAACATAACATCTAGAAACAACATATTAATTCATAAAGATGAAATTATTTTTACAACAATATCTTAATCATATTACTTCCTTATTGTATCCTCTTTGACATCACCCACCCTTTTTATATAGAAAAGATTACTCTATATTGGTGGAAGATAAGATTCTTAAGATGTAGTAGACAATGCCAATTTTAATACTCTCATGGTGTTAAAATGATCAAAAGCAGATTTCCACCTGTGAGATTCCAGGGAAATCTTTATAGTCAGACAATCATTACAGCCAACAAAACGTTGTAGGTAATGTATAAATTGTTTAAAACATTTATTTTATTTTATTTTTATAGCTTAAAATAAAAAAAAAGATTTAGGGTAATTTAAAGTGAAAACACAATAATATTTAATAATAATATATAAAAGAAAGCTGGAGATTAAATATAAAATGAGGAGTGTGAATATAAGAATATATGGGTACTATATGTCATATGAAATGAATTTTGAATTTCTTGTTAGTCAAAGGGGAAAACCCACACAAAACCAAAGGAATCATGATAGTTTTTTGAGAAATAATAATATATTTTCCTAGCATCAAATTCTATAAGAGAATTGTCACATATATTTTTCCATAAAAGGGAAGCGTAAAACTTTAAATAACAATTTTGAAGAAAATGCAAAAATGTTATAGAGTATTAATATATCATCCTTTAATAAAAGCCAAAGGTATGACCTTAAGTAATAATTCAGTTAAAGCATTAAAAAAAAAAAAACACAACTGTTATTTTAGGTTCGGGGGTACATGTGTAGGTTTGTTAAATAGGTAAATTTGTGTCATGGTGGTTTGGTGTACAGCTTATTTTGCTACTTGGGTACTAAGCATAGTACCCAATAGTTATTTTTCCTGATCTTTTCCCTCCTTCTACCATCCTCCCTCACATAAGCCCCAGTGTCTGTTGTTCCCCTCTATGTGTCCATGCATTCTCATCATTTAGCTCCTACTTATAAGTGAGAACATGCAGTATTTGATTTTCTGTTCCTGTGTTAGTTTGCTAACAATAATGGCCTCTAGCTGCATCCATGTGCCTGCAAAGGACATGTTCCCATTCTTTTTTATGGCTGTGCAGTATTCCATGGTGTATGTGTACCACGTTTTTCTTATCCAGTCTATCATCGATGGGTGTTTAGATTGATTCCATGTCTTTGCTTTGTGAATAGTGCTGTGATAAACTTGTGTATACATGTGTCTTTATAGTAGAACAATTTCTATTCCTTCATGTATATACCCAGTAATGGGTTTATTGGGTCAAATGATAGTTCTGTTTTTAGTTGTTTGAGGAATTACCACACTGCCTTCCATGATGGTTGAACTAATTTACACTCCTGCCAGGATTGTATAAGTGTTCTTTTTTCTCTGCAACCTCTCCAGCATCTTTTTTCAATTAATTAATTAATTAATTAATTTTGAGATGAAGTTCCACTCTTGTTGCCCAGGCTGGAGTGCAGTGGCGCCATCTCAGCTCATCGCAACCTTAACCTCCCAGGTTGAAGCACGTCTCCAGCCTCAGCCTCCCCAGTAGCTGGGATTACAGGCACGCACCACCATGCCTGGCTAAATTTTGTATTTTTTAAAAAATGGATACGGGTTTTCACCATGTTGGCCAGGCTGGTCTCAAACTCCTCACCTGAGGTGATCCACCCACCTCAGCCCTCGGCCTCCCAACATGCTGGGATTACGGGTGTGATCCACCTCACCTGGTCCTATTTTTTGACTTTTTTTTTTTTGAGATGGAGTCTTGCTCTGTTGCCCAGGCTGGAGTGCAGTGGTGTGATCTCAGCTCACTGCAACCTCTGCCTCCTGGATTCAAGCAATTCTCCTGCCTCAGCCTCCTGAGTAGCTGGGATTGTAGACGTGCACCACCATGCCCAACTAATTTTTGTATTTTTAGTACTGACAGGGTTTCACCATGTTGGCCAGGCTGGTCTTGAACTCCTAACTTGTGAGAGCCAAATCAAGAACACATCCCATTCACAATTGCCACAAAAGAATAAAATACCTATGGATATAGCTAACCAGGGAGATGAAAGATCTGTACAATGAAAACTACAAAACACTGCTCAAAGAAATCAGAGCTGACACAAACAAATGGAAAAACTTCCATGCATATGTATAAGAAGAATCAATATTGTTAAAATGGCCATAGTGTCCAAAGCAATTTATAGATTCAGTGCTATTTCTGTCAAACTACCAATGACATCCTTAACAGAACTAGAAAAAAGTTGATATAAACATATAGACAATATCAGACATTTATTAACTTTTCTTATACTTACCACTTTGTTATTGAAGGATTAATATTTTAAAATATGATGTAGTCTCTTAAGAAATATTCTAATCCTTATTATGTCATTATTTCCAAAGAATGATTTTGATACATTTTAAAGAAGCTTTAGAAACATGAAACTCCTAATAATAGATATCCTGTTAAAAATTTTAAAAATAATGTAAATATAATCACATTTGACATATTATTAAATTGTTAATTGTTATTGATTTCTATTTTGTGTGGTATGAAGTATAAAAAGGAAAAAAGCCACCATTATGACATCAAAATGTGACTGTTTATGTCCATTTTTACTTAATATGCCATGAATTTACAAAGATGAGGTTAAAATATCACATCTGGTAAAAAAAAATGTATAATAGAAGAATCCCATTTTAATGGCATCAAAAAAGAGAATGGTATGGATCAATTTATTTCTGCATTCTATCTGCAGCTATGTATTCTGATGGTGTAAATTTTTGCTCAAAGATTCACAACAGTTACATTTTCATTATTCCAGGCACTTATTTGTCTTATTTGACACATTTTCTTTGTTGGATTCTGCCTTGCCTGATAGCCAATAGCTTACACTTACTGAGTTCACATTATGTTCTAGGCATGGTTCCAAAGCGTGTAGTACAATATGCAAGGTAGAAAAAGCAGAAAGAGGGCAAGTCATGAATGATGGGAAGTTGTGTATGTCCATCTCTCATTCAATTGACAAAGGATTAAAGCAAGCATGTCTTTCATAATGTAGACACCAAGGGTAGAGGTGTCAAAGGTGGAAGAAACATTAAGGATCATTTAAACTCTTTGAAACTTTTATAGATGAAGAAAGCTCAAAGGAGTGTTAGAGCTTGCCCAATATCATATACGTACTCCCTAGTTCACCAGGACTGAAACCTAGGTGCTTTGACCTTGAATTCTTTGTTTCTTCTACTCCACTAAGGGGATAAGTCAATTATCAATAATATTGTATCTGAAAATGATGCAAAATTTTAAGAATGACTAAAATCCAAGCAATGCTAAAATTTTCTTCATCTGGACAGTGGTCTGAAATAAAAATCCTGATACATTTAAATTAAATAATAGAGGGATTTTATTTTTGAAATATTCTACATAATTTTGAATTTTAGACTAAAATAGTGAATTTTATTATAATTTTCAAAACACTTTCTTACTCTTCTTTGAATTGCACAACTTGGAACAGTAAGGAAAATAGTTTATATAGGCTGAATTTTTCTTGCCATGATAAATAACTTGGGGCTTTAATAGATGATTTCTTAATTTATAAATGTTTTTTACAACATATAGTTCTATCATAAGATAAATTCTGCTTAATAACCATATTTTATAGCCTCTTATGTCACCACTCATTTTTAAATAGTATTTTATAAGTTTATGAAACATTGTATGTTACTAAAGTTACATTTCAAAATCTTACTTTTTCATATTGCTTTTTTCCAGAAAGTGATGAATGTATACCCACATGTTGGAAAAGAGAAGGTTTATACCGAATACGTATTTGCTTCTTTCGTTTTAAACAGTTTCTCTGGGGAAAAAGAGAAACAACAATCTTCTGTAAAAACCCAGATACTGCTTTGTATTGCGTTTACTGATGGTAGAATTTTTATATATTAGTTTTCGCTAGAGCTCTATTTTCATATTTAAAAATTTAAACAAAATATTGAATTCTTACCTTTTTCTTCACAAGAATAGAGTAAAGGAGTTGGGATAAAAATGGTTTTGGTTCCAACATATATTTTCATGAACTCTGTCTTAGAACCAGGTTAGTGTTGTACTAACTATATTTCCTCTCTTTTTTTTAATTACAATAACTAAAATAAAATGCTTGGTATTTTTCAATCCATATCTGTCAGACTACAGTATTCTTTCACTTCCCATATTCATTGACTGAGTTCTCTATTGAATTACAGCTCCTCAATTTCTTCTTAAATAGTAAAAAATATGCTATTAAAACAAAGAACCAATTTATAGTCAATGAAAAAGAATCTGGATAATTTTCTCAAAAATAAAAGTGAGATGGATGACCTATGGCACCGCTCCTATTAATAACAAACATTTGAAGGCTGGGCATGGTGACTCATGCCTGTAATCCCAGCACTTTGGGAGGTTGAGGTGGGAGGATTGCTTGAACTCAGGAGTTTGAGACCAGCTTGGGCAATATAGTGAGAACCCATCTCTAAACACAAACAAAAACAAAAATAAAACAAACAATAGAAACTCCACAAACAATTGAAATAATTGTGATCACTGAGAATTATTTTATATATTTTTATAGCTAGAAGATTCAGAAAAATCTAAAATTTATTTATATAGTAATTTTTAATAGCAGTTTTATTAAATGCATTTCTACCCAGTACTAACACATAGGAAAATATTGAGTTTCTCTTTTAACTGTAAAGTAATTTAATGGCCTAGAGTTAATTTAATTTGAAACTAAATTAGCATCAGATAAAATTGGTTGAGGAGTTACAGTTTAGCAAATAAGATAATGGCTTTGCAAACACACTCTTAAGACAACCTGCTGATAAAGCTGAATTTATTTCATATTGCTGTAAGGGCAATCACTACTTTTATGGAGTCTGGATACTACCTGTTCAAGTCTTTTTCCCTTTTTAAAATTGGGCTGTTTATCTGTGGTTGGGTTTTGAAAGTTCAATGCATGTACTGAATACATGTCCTTTGTTGGATATGGAATTTACAAATATTTTCTTCTAGTCCATGGTGTCTTATTGTTCTCTTAATAGTACCTTTTGCAACACAAAAATTTGTACTTTTGATGAGATCCAATTTATCCATTTTTAAAAATGGATCATGCTTTTAGTGTCATTTAAAAAAAATTTCACCCAGCCCTAGATCCTGAACATTTTTCTATATTTTCTTCCAAGAGTTTTATATTTTTGTGTTTAGATAGATGATTTATTTTGAAATATGTTTGTATAAAGTGTGAGGTTTAGGTTGAAGTAAGGTTGAGAGATAGGGCACTAATTGATCCAGTAAACATTTGTGAAAAGATTATTTTTTCTCCACTGAATTTCGTATACTTCTTTGCAAAATATCAGTTGGCTATATTTTGTGGGCCTATTTCTGGACTGCTCTGCTCCATGGACCTTTGTGTTTATCCTTTTGCCAATCAATAAAGGCTTGTCTTGATTACTGTAGCCTTATAGTAAGCTTTAAAAATGAATAATGTGATTTTCCCAACTTTATTCTGCTTTTTAAAAATTATTTTAGTTGATCTACTTCCTTTGTCTTTTCTTAAAAATTCTGGAATCAGCTTTGGTAGAATATCTACCAAAGAATTCCCGCTGAGGTTTTGATTAAAACTGTGTTAAATCCATAGACCAATTTGGGTTACATTCATACCTTTACTAAGTTGAGCTTCCCAATCTATGATTATGGTATGTTTCTTTGTTCCTTTCAATATTTGCATTTTGAGGTGTTCAGCATATAATGTACGTATTTTGTTAAATTTATACACAGAGATATATAAATATTTTATATAATATTTTTTAAATATTGTAAATAATTTTTAAATGTTGGTGGCTGGGAGTGGTGGCTCATGTCTGTAATCCCAGCACTTTGGGAGGCTGAGGCAGGCAGGTCACAAGGTTGAGAGACCAAGACCACCCTGGCCAACATAGTGAACCCCCATCTCTACTAAAAATACAAAAATTAGCTGGGTGTGGTGGCACACACCTGTAGTCCTAGCTACTTGGAAGGCTGAGGCAGGAGAATCGCTTGAACTGGGGAGGCAGAGGTTGCAGTGAGCCAAGATTGCACCACTGCACTCCAGCCTGGTGACAGAGGGAGACTCTGTCTCAAAAAGAAAAATGTTGGTGAGATGGTTTGTCTCTGTGTCCCCACCCAAATTTCATGTCAAATTGTAATTCCCACATTTCAGAGGAGAGAGCTTGTGGGAGGAAATTGGATCATGGGGGTGAATTTCCCCCATGCTGTTCTCATTATAGTGAGTGAGTTCTCCTGAGATATAATGGTTTTATGTGTGTCAGTTCCCTGCTGGCTTTCTCTCTCCTGCTGCCATGTAAGACATGCCTTACTTCCCCTTCACTTTCTGCCATGACTGTAAGTTTCCTGAGGCCTCCCAGCTATGCAGAACTGTGAGTCAATTAAGCCTCTTTTCTTTACAAATTACCCAATCTCTTTATAGCAGTGTGAAAATGGATTGATACATTTGGTTTTCAACTTTTCATTGCTATTTTGCTGAAAAATGATGGATTTTTATAGACCTTGTATCTTGCAACTTTGTTCAAACTCATTTATCAGTTCTAGGATGTGTGTGTGTGTGTATTCTTTGTGATTTTCTACATAGACAATCATTGCATTTGCTTCTCAATTCATGTGCCTTTATTTTTCCCTTTATTGCACTGATTTGAATTTCCAGTAAAATATTGAATAGGAGTGGTGAGGACAGACTTGGTTACTTTTTTTCTTAATCTTAGAGTGAAAGCATCCAGGTTTCAACAATGAAGCATGAAGTTGGCTATGGGATTTCTCTAGATGCTCCTTAACATGTCAGTAAGTTTCTTTCTGTTCCTAATTGGCTGGGAGTTTTTATTATAAACGAATTGTGAATTTTGTCAAATGATTTTTCTACATCAGTTGATATTAACATGTGGCTTTTCTTCTTTAGAATCTTAGATTGGTGGGTTACACTGTATGATTTTCAAACATTAAACCAGTTTTGTATTCATAGAATAAATACCAATTAATATGGTCTATTTTTCTTTTCACATACTGGTGGATTCAATTTACTATTACTTGGAAGATTTTTCTATCTATATACTTGGAGGTATTTGTTCTTGGTTTTCTTTTTTGCTCTGTTTTTATCTGGTTTTCATGTCAGGGTAATGCTGGCCTCATGAAAAGAATTGGGATGTACCCTTTCTTCTTCTATTTTGGAGAACATATTACATACAATTGGTATTATTTCTTCTCCATTTAGTAGAATGTACCATTAAACCCTTTGGATGTGGAAATTTCTTTTTCAGGATTTAAAAATAATAATTCAATTTCTTTAGTAGATATAGGACTATTCAGGTTGCCTATTTTATCTTGGATGAGTTTTGATAGTTTGCAATTTTTGATGGATTTTATTTTTATTAATTAATTTATTTTGAGACAGAGTCTCGTTCTATTGCCAGGCCGGAGTGCAGTGGTGTGATCTTGGCTCACTGCAACCTCTGTTTCTTGGGTTCAAGCATTTCTCCTGCCTCAGCCTCCTGAGTAGATGGGACAACAGGTGTGCACCACCACACCCAGCTAATTTTTTTTAAATTTTTAGTAGAGATGAGGTTTCACCGTTTTGGCCAGGATGGTCTTGATCTTTTGACCTCGTGATCTGCCTGCCTCAGCTTCCCAAAGTGCTGGAATTACAGGCATAAGCCACCACTCCCTGCCGATGGATTTCATTTTTAAGTTGCTCATTTTACATGCATGAAAGTGCTTGTAGTATTCCCTTATTATCCTTTTAGTATCTGTGGAGTATGTTGTGGCTCTCCCACTTTGTTTCTAATATTGATAAGCTGTATTTTTTGTCACTCTTATTAGACACTTAGCAGTTTTCTTGCTCTTTAAAAAAAAATCACCTTTTGGTTTTATTGGTTTTCTCGTTTGTTTTTATGCTTTTAGTTTTGCTGTTTTCTTTTATTATTATTTTCTTCCTTCTCTTTCTTGGCCTTTTATTTTGTCATTCTTTTTCTAGTTTGTTAACATAGAAGTTGAGATTATGAATGTGAGATCTTTCTTCTCTTCTAAGATACAGATTTAAGTCTATAAGCTTTCTCTCTAACCAGGGCTTTAGCTGCATTCCAAAAATGTTGAAACATTGTATAGAGTTAATTTCCTTTGAAACTCATTTCTTCACGTAGGGCTTATTGAGAAGTGTGTTGTTTCATTACCAAGTGCTTGAGATTTTTCAGTTGTCTTTATGTTGTTGATTTTCTAATTTGATTCTATTGTGGCATAAGAACATACATTTAAAAAATTATTTCAATATAAATTTGTTAAGCTTTGTTTTATGATCCAAGATGTGGCTATTTTGGTGAATGTTGTATCTGTTTTTTTTAAGAGAATGTATTTTCTACTGTTATTGGATGTAGTGGTTTTTAAATGTCAATAAAATCCAGTTGGCAGATGGTGTACAGTTCTTTTATCTTCTTGCTGGTTTTCTGCCTGTCAGTTCTGTTGATTACTGAGAGAAAGGATGGTTGAAATCTCCAACTGTAATTGTAGATCAATTGATTTTTTCTTTTAGTTCTGTCAGTTTTCACTTCATGTATTTCAAGACTCTGTTTCTCTTGGTAATTTCGCCCTTTATTATATATAATATCTTTCTTGATCCCTAGACTGGTTTATCTTTTTTTTTGCTTTTAAGTCTATTCTGATATTAATATAGCTACTACAAATTGGGCATCATGGCTCAAGCCTGTAATCCCAATACTTTTGGAGGCTGAGGTGGGCAGATGGCTTGAGCCTGGGAGTTTGAGACGAGCCTGGGAGTTTGAGACCAGCCTGGGCAACATGGCAGATGCCCGTCTCTACATAGAATACAAAAATTAGCTGGGTTTAATGAGATGTACCTATAGCTCCAGTTACTGGGGAGGCTGAAGTGGGAGGATCACCTGAGCCCAGGGAAGTGTTGAGTCTGTAGTGACCTTTGATTGTGCTACTGCAATCCAGCCTCACATACAGAATGAGACTGTAATTAAATAAATAAATAAACAAAATATAGCTACTACTGCAAATTTCCTTTGATTTGTGTTTGTATGGTATATATTTTTTTCATCTACAAGTTTTAACGTATTTACGATATTTGAACTGAGTATTGACTTCAGTAGTTGCATTACTAAAAAAATCTACTCTCATGAACTCTTAATGGTGTGTTTTCATCATTTATATTTAATATAAGTATTGGCATATTTGAATTTATGTCTACATTTTTTTTTCTATTTTTTTACTCTGTTTTTGTCCCTCTGTTTCTACTTTTCACTGCATTTTTGTGGTCTCTCATTATTTCATTTAATAGATGGAAAGATCAAAATTTGGGATATTAGAAATTTTAAAATTTGATGCATTTATCAGATTTGGTTTGGTAGACAAATTTTAGGTAATTACATCAGATAGATAATATTTCTTCTAAAAGATTTGGTATTCTTAAAATAAATAAATACTCACAAAATCTTCTCCTGTGTCACACAGCTTCACCTGAAAAATGTCATCCAAGAGCCAATCTATGGGTTTATCTTTGTAGAACATTAAAAAAAAACGTACAAAGTGAGTTAAATCCTCAGATCTAAAGAGCTTTCCTATGGGGAAAAAAATTAGATATAATTAATTCATATACAGTTGTTTATTTCTTTAACATGGGAAAAAAGCAAAAGTTATTAAAATTTATATATGTCCCATTCCTTAGAAATAAAGATTAAAGCACTACTGAAGTTGGACAATGATAAAATTAAACACTCTATCTACTTAAGTATCAAGGATTACCACTTATGAAAGAGAATATAAGCAGGTTTAGAATGGTCAATACTTTTAGGAAATCAATTGTGATAACTAATGAGGATCGATTATCTAAATCAAGTGAAAGATAAGTGCATAGAATGAAATATGTAGGCACTGTAATGTTTTACTTAATTTTGTACAAACTGTATTTTTTACCTGATTTTTTTAGCACTTTATCAATCTACTACATTTTTCATTTTTAGTACAGTACTGTACTTAATTTTATTAAATTACTATTTCAATATTTAGCATTATTTTAACAGGATGTTACTTTTCTTTTATATTTGTGATTCTTAAAGATTTACTATATAATTTAAAGTATTAGTCCATTAAGTCTAATATTTTTTTTCTAAGTTACTACACCTTTAATTTTAAAATGAAGTTGAAGGGATAATATTCAGGTATATAGTCACTTCAAAGTAAATAATGTAAAATACATCTAATGATTTGATAAGTATGAAAGTAGGATGTAAGCATGCTTCATTCTTCACTAGGACTTGAGTTTATATGGGTCACTTAATAAAATGTGTAAATGTATTTTAATTTTTGGCACTGATTTATATAGTAACCAAAGCAAGAAATTTAATGATGAAAATGGCTGATTCAATTCCTAACCTGCTGTCACCATGCTATAAAATTCTAGTTGGCAAGCTCATATTTTTAGCAAATAATGAATAACTGAATTGCTATTATTATAACTGAAAGCAAAACTTTTGTTAAGTTTAAGCTTGAACAAGATTTGGCATCCCACAAATAGTGGTCCTTGTTCAATGTGATCTTGTGATTAGAATGTAAGAATTCTCTATGTATCTCCTACTTGACTTTGCTGAGAAAGATAAATTTTTTTGAGAATTTTAAATTCTCAGAGTAATCCATAACCAAGATTTTTTCCTCTTCAAGCTTTTCATTGGGTATTATTGTTAACTATAATTTTCCTTCTTATTTTAATCAAGGCTGAAGAAAAACCTTTGGGCTATTAAAATTTTACAGAAAACATGAAAAACAAAAGTCATCAAGTGAGTATATGAAAAACAGATAGACCTCACTAGCAATCCCAGAAATGCTTTACTCAGAATGGCAAATGTATACAGTACATATAATAATAGATAAAACCAAATGTTGTCAAGCACATGGGAAGCATGAACTTTTATGCACTGCTTGTGAGAGCATAAACCATACAGCCAATCTGTAAAGCCACTGGCAGTACTTAGAGCTATGTGAATTTTTAGTGGTCCACTCCAGGTGACATATATGTCATTTCACTTTTTTGTGGTAGCAAAAAATTGGAAGCAATTAAAGTCTGCCACGCAGGAAATAGTCAAATGTGAGTGATAAGTGATAAGTCATCACTTCTTTCAAAGTCTTTTGGTGACTGATCACTGTGCATCCATTATTTAGTTCACTTGTAGACAGCAAAAAGTGTGGTTATCTTGCCTTACCTTCTGGTGATAAACAAAAGTAGGTAATTAAGGAAGGATTTAACAAAAGTAAGTAATTAAAGGAAGGAACTGGCTGACAGATGAAAGCGGAGAAAGTGAATGCTGGAAGTGAATTTTTAAAAGCAGGTTACAGTTTTATATGCATTATCTCTCAGTTATGGGCAAAATAGGTAGTCCTCAGTTTGCAGAATTCCAAATGTGTAACTTTCAGTGACCGTCATTATGCAGTACTTATGCAGCAGTAAAAAACCAATAAACTAAATGAACATAAAACAACATGCAGATAACTTAGAAATCAAGTTTTAAGGACAAAAAAGTAAGGAATAGGAATATACAAATATGAGAAACACCAAATATTTTACATGGATACTGTATATATGTGTGTTTTGAACATATGAGAGTGAACAATATATTGAAGAGTGGCAGGAAGTTGGTACAGGAATCGGGAATGAAAGGAAAGAATAAATAAGGAAGAGCTCCTGCATGAATCAATAATGTCATGCACCATAAAAATCTTGATCCAACAAAGTAGATCTACTGCTTACCTATGAATCCAAGCATTGAAAACTCAATAAAAAACCAATCATTTGAACTCATATTATGTACAAAATCTGTTATTTTTGTAAAGTACATCTGTTTAGCTATGATATCGTCTTCTAGCTGAAAAAAAACCAAAAAGACATTAGAACCTTCGATGCTTCCATTAAGCAAGCTATATTAGCTTGAAAATAAAAAATATAATAGAATACACTGAAGAAAATGTTTTTTATAAAGTAACAATTTTATTTCAATTTCAATTAATTGAGGGTATTTACAGTTAGTTGATTTCCCTTTTTTTTTTGAGACAGGGTATCACGCTGTTACCCAGGCTGGAGTGCGGTGGTGTGACTGCAGACATGTGCCACCATGTCTGGCAAATTTTTATGTTATTGGTAGGGATGGGGTTTCGCCTTGCTACCCAGGCTGGTTTCAAACTCCTGGGCAACATAGTGGACTCAAATGATCCTCCTGCGTGGCTTCCCAACTTCTGGGCTCAAGTGAGCCTCCCACCTTGACCTCCCAAAGTGCCAAGATTACAGGCATGAGATACCACACCCTGCCCCATGTTTGATTCTTAGATTAACCAGACAAGAGATTATCTGTTTCTTTCCTAAATACTAAACATTCAATCTAGATCCCTCTTTGAAATAGCCTCCTTATCCAAATGCACTTTCATCCTCACAAATACTTCAGTTTCTAGTTTAAGACTGTCTTGGTCCCTTTGAGCTGTTATAACAAAATACCATAAACTGGGTACTTTATAAACAACAAACATTTATATTTCACAGTCCTGGAGCCTGGGAAGGCCAAGAACAAGGTGCTAGCAGGTGTGTGTCTGCTGAGGGCCTATTCCTGATAGATGATGGCTTCCACTGTGTCTTCACACAGTTAAAGGGGCTAGCTAGCTCTCTGAGGTCTCTTTTATAAGGGCACTAATCCCATTCATGAGGGTCTGCCTGAATAATCTAATTGCCTCCCACAGGCTCCACCTCCAAATACTATCACCTTGGGGATGAGAGTTTTAACATATTGATTTTGGGAGAGAGGCCAGGAGCCTTAGCTTATGCCTGTAGTCCCAGCACTTTGGAAGGCTGAGGCAGGCAGATCGCTTGAGTGATCTGTGATCATGCCACTGCACTGTAACCTGGATGACAGAGCAAGACATTGTCTCAAAAAAAAAAAAAAAAAAAAAAAAAAAAAAAAAAAAAAAAAAAAAAAACCCAAAAAACAAAACAAAACAAAAAAATTTGGGGAGGCTCTGGGAGGGATGCAACCATTCAGACCATAGCTAAGACGAACTAGCTTAATGCTTGTGATGAAAGGTGCCATGTTCTATCTCCAGATATTGTGGCTGACAAACTGGTTCCCAGCAAAGAGAAGACAAAAAGAAACTGGGCACTCTCATCCACAACTCCACCTAGCTGGTTAGAATAATGGTGTAAGCCTAAAAATATCCTCCACAAGAGAGAGGGGGCAATGGAAATCAGATTTCTTTTTTTATTATATATATATTATGCATAATCTATGGACTAAGAGGGCCTCATAAGTAATTAAGAAAAATGTGGCAGTCCTCAGGCACATTATGAGGACACAGAATAGAGCTGTGGTGTCTCAAATTGAAAAGAGTACATTGGCTGGATCTTGTGGTTCCAGGATATTTCCCCTAACTGGGAATCAAAAGAGACCTTTTTATATTCCAGTAAAAGAGAAGACCTTGCTTTAGGCCTTTTCTAATTTTCTCTCTAATCTACAACTCTCTTTTGCAAATTCTTCTCACAAGTACATGTTGTCTATGTAGTGAATTCAAATTGCTATTGCTATTTAGAAACATAATGTTATTATTTAACAATGTGCAGGGATTTAGAGGGTACAAACTACATATAATTGATTCACTTTTACAAATACAGTGAGGCACTGAGAACTGCGTTACTCATAAAGCATGAGTAAATGTAGGGTAGCAATGATAAGTGTATATAATGCCTGACAAATGCTCAAAATGCATTTGCTTAATCTAATAAAATTGTAAGCCAAGAAATAAATGTAGGCACTATAATTTTTTTTTGAGATTTTCTTTTCAGTTTGATTCAAGTAATTATAATTTTCCCTATAACAGTGAACTCAGCAAGAATATTCATATATAATCAATTTTAAACTTCCTTTGGCATTTTAATACAGCAAGTATTTTCTATTTTCTGAGTATAATGTAAGGTGGAGGAACACAATGAAGAAATGAAATTACAGGAGGGAAGGAGAAAATAATATTTTCAATTTAAATTATTTTTATCTGTAGATATAATTGATGTATACTATATATAGATGTACATATATATACACATGCATACATACATGCACACCCATACACACCCCAATTTCCTACCTGTAAATAATACTTGGCCTTTGGTTGAGCATACAGCATCAAAATGCAAAAATCCAATACTTGTTTGATTCGCCAACTAAAGGTAAGCAGTAAGATCTGTTAAAATTTGTCATTATTATTTAATTTTTATTTATAAGCATACTTTAGTAATCAAAAACTCTTTTGCAGTTTACTAACAGAGTACTAGTTACATTAAGTAAAATTGAATATGCTTATACTAAAAAGTTTTCCATCTTTATTCAATCGACAGTGTTGGCCATTGCTAAACTAGAATAAACATAACCCATTTGTTACATTTTGTTCTAGATAAGTTTTGATCTAGATAGTAGTGTTAATATTCTTTCTGATTTTAGGTTTTGTTCAAATGAAAGTATAAAGAAACTTTATTCTTTTTTTTCAGTGTCTCTCCTAACAGCTTACTGATTCTATCATCCAAGAGTTTTCTCCATAATTCTTAAGGTTAACTATCTGCTACAGAGTGTAAATATTTCTTTTTGGGGGTCTTTAAACCATTTCCCCTAAGTCTTATCCCTTGGTTTACTTGGAAGGGAAAGGTTGCTTTTTCTGTTTTTATTTTGAAAGTTGTCTCCACAAGCCTCTGGAACTCCTCATGGTCCTCTTGAAGAAACCCAGTGTAACTGCCTTCACAAGCTGACTTTATGTTTGGCCTCTGATGAAATACGTGAGCACACATTGCCTTAACTCTCCCAATCCTAGGGAATGGAGTAATTATACGAATTGCTACTCTCCAGCTGATTTTTTTGAGGCCAAATTTGAGGCAATTTGAACTCTACGGAGTGAAATATTTTGAATAACAACTGAAGAGAATTAAAGAGAGAATTATAGAAAA